CCAAAGTTTGTCTGCGAGAAATCTGAGACTAAAGCTGCCTGCACTGAACTGAGATTCTCCACACTTTCTCGAGGTGTATGTGTGAACGCAAATGTCTGAGTGAGAGCCTCTGGATTGTCTGCCCACTTCTCCAACTGGCCCTTACGTATGAAGTCAGCGGAATCCGATGTGAGATCACAGCAGGACCTCCCCCCGCTGGAATCATCTCAAGCAAGTGGGTCGATGACGCTTCTAAAACGCGACAGATTAAAAAAAGAAAAAAAATATCTCCGGGTGAAAAAAGGGCTTTTCTACTGTTAGCTCATTGAATGAAAAGTCTTAATTTAAAAGTCTTAGACAAGTTTGCCCAGAAAGAAAATATAAAAATGTAAAAGGAAACTGGCATCTATGACAGCCCATGAGAATTTTTATCAAATGCCTCTATCAAAAGGATGACATAATATGTCTGTGCGCTCCAAGGCTATAGTCATCTTTCACTGTAACAATGTATACAGTGGAAAATCGTTGTTGATGTTCCAGGGTAAACCACGAGAAATTTGCATTTTTGCATGCAATTTGATTGACCCACATGTGACTGGCCTGGTTCAACCTTTTTTCCCCAGTGACAGGCCTTCTGTCAGTCTGAACCTGACCGTAGGCTTGAAAACGGGAGCGATCATGGTTTGGGACTTACTGTTAAAGATACTTGGTTAAGATTGGGGAACATATGAGGTCATGGTTAAAACAAACCAAAATATTTTCCGTTGATCGAAAACAGGAAGTAAAGGGGGGGTCCTATGCTTAATCATCTCATCCATCCACTCTTAATGCACACATCTACAAGAACCTAGAAAACCCCAACAGAGCCTGTCAAAGCCCTGCAAGGACTTCTGGATTTCTGTCAAAGACCCCCAAAGCACCTCAGGGATTCATGGAGCCTCCTGGTGTGTCTGCATGGGTCCAGAATCCTTGGACATATCTAATGTTCAGACTACATGACTGTTCTGCAAATTACATTTGCATTATACATTACATTATATATACATATTCTCGGGGCACCTCACCACATGTGAAGTGGTAGAGGTTACCACATTCACTAAGCGAGTGGAATATCTGGCTAAAATACATGGAGGAAACTATGCAGAAAGTGCATGCATATGACTGTGTTTGTGTGTGTTTGTGTGTGTGTGCATGTGTATGTATGTGTGTNTGTGTGTGTGTGTGTGTGTGTGTGTGTGTGTGTGTGTGTCTGTGTGTGTTGTTCAGGATGAATCACAGACATAATGTGTTTGATCCTGCAGCTCAAACAGATGTAGACTGAGGTAGCTATAAAAGTAACATACTCCATGTCTCCTCAGTAGGTGTCACCTCAGTTCCCCTACTTCCTTCCAGTGTGTGTGTGTGTGTGTGTGTGTGTGTGTGTGTGTGTGCTGTATGTCACTGGGGACCTTCAAGGATGTCCTCTTGCAAACAACCTGCCACCTACGCAGACTACAACAGCTCCTGTGTCCTCTATTGTTATATCGTAGTTGTTTATTCGATTAAGCTTCACAAACACAGGTTGAATTTACATTAGCCAAATTTAAGCAACAATTAATGATACTGGCAAATTTTAGACATGAGATGACATTTCCTTTGTGATATAGCATAACTACATCAAGCAGTTAATACATAAAGTGAAGTTGAATTTATTTATTTACTTGTACTTGAGCAATTTTATTTTATTTTATATTACCTTTTTTCTTAATGTTGTTTCCCAAGTTCAAAGAATAAAAACCTTCTGGAAATACTTCCTAAAAAAACTTCATTACAAAAACAATCCTTTTCAAAGTATAAAAATTCAGCATTTGTTATACATTTCTGGTGCCAGAGTCTATGACAAGCTGCAACTGTGATTTCATATTGTTGTGATCATCCACAGGAAGGCATGGTGATGCTTATCTGTTACATCTGCTCTGTTTACTCATCCAGCTCAAATGTGGTGGATTGTATTTACCTGAATCAGTTCATGTAGAATCCATTAATACAACAGAGCAACAGAAACTTTTTACTGAAGTGACTAATGCATAAACTGGGTTTATGGTCAAATCACTGCACCTTCAGGGGAGCGTTGAGAAGACCCAACGTTTCAGCACACCGAAAGGTCTGACTGAGCTGTGTGTAATGACTTCTTATCAGACTTCCAATTCCTGTCTGGACTGATGCACTGAAACCATTAGTCAACAAATAAAGCAGAGGATGTTGACGCCTGAAACCAGCAGGTAGAGAAACACAGGGTGCATGGAGCAAGTTTGCGACTTACCTTTGCTCTTCAGTGGTTTAGTCCAAACAGCTTATTCCAAGTGCTTCTCACATCATCCACCTTTACTCTGCAACAAGCTACAATTAGCTCCCAAGTTAAAGGGAGGAGGAAAAGGAAACTCTCAGCTCCTCCCCTCACAATGAGAGCAAAGTGCAACTTCCTGGTGTGCGGGATGGCGGGGCAGACTTTTTGAGGGTTAATACGAGTGCTGCCAACATTCACGGTGAAGGGATAGGAGTGGGATTATTAGTAGCGGTTATAGTACACCCAGCTGGCTCAGGGAGCAGCAGTGAGGAGACAAAGAAACTGGTTCTGCAGCTTTGAATGAATGATACTTCACCTACTTCCCCGGAGAGAAAACAGGTCAAATTATATTGGCTGTACTAAAACATTGTGTTTGTGGCAGATACTCCCACACTGCAGTAAATACAACATGTGTTTAAAAGCATTGCTTAAATCAAATTGTTTGATAATTTTGTCCATGCGTTTGGATATTATTATTATTTAATATACATTTTGGTCGGCTGGTATTCCAGAAAGGACAGCACAAGAATTTCAATTCACAGGGGAATGTGTGTTCTGGTGTCTATTTGACATTAAAATCTTTGAATCTTTAAATCTTTGAATATGTATTATAAACATATCAGGATTGTATTGCTGTGTTATCTGTACATTTCTAATGTACAAAAGTAGAGCAGTGGACATTCTAAAGCTGCCTGTTTTAAATGTTCATCTCTCTTAGCCTATGGTAATGTTGCGGAACTACTTCACAATTATTCCTTGACATCTGTGCTCCCTAATCCCAGGAAATAATTAAAACATATCAGGCCTTGACTATAATGTAGCGGCGCTTTCTATAAACGGTGTATGGTGCAGAGTGAAGTTAGAAAACTTTGAGTTCATCCTACCTGGTTTAACTGTCATGAAGATTCTGTTTGTCACCAAATGAAACAGAACTGAAATTATTACTCTGGTTCATATATACATGTACGTTTGAATGATTTACAGTTGTTTTTGTCTATTTCAGAATCTGTTAAGAAATGGACACTATCTTCAGACCCAAGTTCAAATGTGGCACCCAAGAATGTCTGTGTCAGTCCTTGGTTAAACCACAGTTATTATCAGAGGACGTAGAAGAAGACATGTTCAACTTGGTCCCCAGGCTGAGGGCACACTGCCTCACCCCCACTGACTGCTAAGGTTTATTATTAATGAGCCTATTGTCCAAATCGTGCCAAATATGTAACTGCACTTCCCTGGGCCATTACAAATACACCAAGTATGAAGCTAATGAGATGAATCTTGACATGTGTGTTCTTCAGACAGACAGACGTTTGTGGAATTAACGTTTGTAAATTAAGAAGCATGAAACACTTTCTAATGGCCACTATTAATTTATCCATTTATCAATGGGTTATTGTGCGGAATCAACCTAGAGGGGAATTTCTTAAGTTGGTGGCTAAGTTGATTCCAGTATTTGTGAACTGTTGTGAAATGTTTGAATTTACCTTCTACAACATGATAAATTATTACAGGGATAGTATATACTAAAGTATCACCTGTGTGCCTGAAAAAAATCAAGACGGGGCCCATTTTTACCAGTGTCTATATATAATGGAACATAGCAAAAAGGTTTAGTTTTTGGTTTTTAATTTCCCTTTGCAAAGATCACAGGTGACATAAATCAATGGAGTAAATTAAATCTTCTTCTTTGTAAACTGTGAATCAATGTATTATCTGTAGCTTCAGATTTAGCCTAAAATACATCATTATAGTATGATTTTAACTCATTTGCTAATATTGTGGAAACCCCAAGCAAAGCTAATGACCTCAGCTAAGTCTACAGTTCAGACCCAATAATGAGACCTTACTTGGTCACATTTTGACAAGGGTAAAAGGTTTATAAATTCCTATGACTAATATATAAAAAATAAATTTGCAATGCTGAACATCAAGAAGTATCTGCTTTATTAAAAGGCAATAAATTAAATAGCATACCAGTTGTGACCTGGATGCTTGGAAGTTAATGCAATGAAATAAACCCAATATAAATGTCTGTGTTGTATTTGTTTAAAGGGGATTAAAGGGGGGATGATTCTGGCAGCACACTCATCCTTACACTCAAACAGCTTGTGCTTTACTTATCATAGCAGGCAAAATATGTGCAACAGCATTAGAAAACATGCCACAAACACGGACATATCGACTAAGTACATTTTCTCTGCTCTAACAAAAATCTCAAGTGCCCTGTCCTTTTGACAGTTGACACACTTTCTCACACACCTTACCTTTTATTTGACAGTTTTATCACAGTTGGTTTGTCAATTGTGGTCTACAATTGAAATTACCCCCCTTAAAAAAAGCAATACATTCTACTTTGTTGAACTTGACCTTTCATGCTTAAAGGCACGTCAGGAAAACAGATTATACTTCACAATATGAGTATGTATTTACGTGTATAAATAGCTTACTAAAAATAAAAAACAGATTATGAAAAGAAAGGTTCAGAGTTCATAGGCCTTTTTCACAGCAGCCATGTAGTAGTAGGTAAATGCAGCTGCAGGCTCAGTTGTATTGGGTAAGAGTCGTATTTAATGTGATAAGTAACGCTTCAGTTCTTCTATTGTAATTTAATGTCAAAATGTCTTCTGGAAAAATTTCTCTATTCCTTATCACAGAAAGTGACCGTGTAATGCTCCCTCCGGCCGATGAGTGGCGCTGTGGGTGGTGAGGTTTACTGTCAGCCTTGCTCGTTTGTTTACACAGCAACTTCCCATGTGTACCTGGGACGAAGCTTCGCTAAATTGTAATCGAGTATTTCAGAGAACATTTGTGGAATAACACCGACAGACGGTCACTCCACAGACACTGGGCAGCACAAGTTAGCAGTTAGCCTAGCAGCGGTGCGGACTCTCTGGCTCCGTGAGTGTGTGCGGGCTGCTGCCGGGACACACCGGCACAGACCCAGGTCCCTCCGAGGGAAAGTCTCGGACATGAATACCTGACATCGTCCTCTCTTTGATTCGAGCTGAACGATGCCTCTCGGCCCCGCTAACCATTCCCAGTTGATTCGTTCCATCCAGAAGGACGAATATTATCAAACGTTCCTGAAGAACAACAGCAACGAAGCCTTTCAGACTCTTGCCGGTGAGTTTGTCCTGGTCTAAAAACTGGAAAGTCACTTTCCTCAGCTTACTCTGATTCGATAGCTTTAGCTAGGCAAAGTAAGAGATTCCTATCCTCTAGTCTGGATCGAAGACCGAATGATTGATGGTGTTTAGTCACCGAGTATAAAACACAACCGACTGACAGCCTCTCCTCGGGTAACACATGTTAATTCATCATGTGCCGGGTCAGTCTGCAGCTTTGATGAAAGTGTTAAAGTTTCAGACACTCTGCGTTGATCACAAGCACATTTAAAAAACGGAATCTTATTGATGAGTGGGTTAGATGCAGTGTTGGAGTGTATCAGCTATTATTTCCTCATTGTACATGAATCCTGTGTTTAGATGTTTGAGAGAACCTCAAACGTCTTTCAACACTTTCGATGTTATTCTAATCACCAGTCTCTCTCCACTGTTAACACAAAAGCTCTCATCGTGTTTTAAATAATGTTAATAGAACAGTTTGTGTCCGTTTCATGAGTAAAAGCTGAGCTGGTCTTTTCCCAGAATGACGGTTGTGCTCTGTGCAGAACTTAAGCATTGGCTGTAGTATTAAAGTGTGTTATTGTTTGTTGTTTATTTCCTGTAGGATCCAAACGATGGCTGGACTGGAGGAAAGAGATAGAGCTGCTGTCAGATCTTGTCTACTATGGTTTAACAACATTCTCTGGTAGTCACCGACCACACCATCCGACTTCGCTCACTGTGTGTTTCACTATTTCAATTATTATAGGCAGCATTTGATTTTGATTCATGCTCCTCCTCAGGTTACCAAACTCTTGGTGAAGAGTACGTCGGCGTCGTACAGGTGGATCCCACTAAACGGCAGATCCCCTCCCGGGCAAGACGAGGCTGCTTTGTCCTCTGTCATGCCCTCTTGCCGTATCTTCTGGACAAGGTCCTGGTGTGCTTGGAGAACGAGCTGGATGGTGGGCAGGAGAGCCTCAGCCGTGTCAGGCGGCGGCCTGCCGGGACATGGAGCCTGGAGTCTTGGCTGAGGATGTGGGTGCAGAAGGCAGTGGGGCTGTTGTCAGAGCCCCAGAGGAAAACGTGCTTACCGGCCATTTTCGCCCTCCGTCAGGGTCTGACCCTCCTGCACCGATTCCATGTGGCTCTGTTCTACCTCAGTGGCTCTTTTTATCACCTGTCCAAGAGGATGGCTGGTATCAGCTATGTAGGTGGCTTTTATTTTTTCTACAAATAGAAAAATACTGTTTTATTGCTACTATTTTATAAGTTGGCCCGACCAAAGAGTGACATAAGCTTCTTGCAGACGAGTGGGTGTGTTGAAGAAAAGTCTAAATGTCAAAGAAAGTCCAGAGCTTCTGATTTTGACATTTGCTTTCACACCTCCTGTGAAGAATGTCCACAAATTCGGCGGAGTTCAGTGGATGTCTGAAAGCAGCTTCAGCCCATTGTTACACTTCACTGGATCTCTCTCTCTCGTGCTCACTCGACACACAGTCATACTTAAACACTGACACGCACACGCACACCGACACACACCCATTGACAATGGACACATCTGTAAATGGAACTTAGTAAAAACAATATAATCTCTTTTTCAGTCTTTGTGAACAGAAATTCTGTATGTGTGTATTTGCCTTTAGAGCATGGAAATGAAATCTACTCACAGGAGGCAAATTCGCATTTCAATGTGAGGAGTGAACAGACAAACTTAGCTCTGTCCATGGGCGTCACCTGGCTTGGGCATCAGGGGACGTTTTTTCTTCAGCCCCAAATAATTGGCCAGTCGCCATTTTCACTGGTACATAACTTTGCAACTGAACATCCACTAGAGGAGTAGAAATTCTCTCAGAAGAGGAGTTGTGTAAATCTTGGGGTGCATATGTTCTTTTGTTAACTCGGGAACAAAATAGGCTTGTTTTGTGTATAAATAAGTTTATTAATACAACGCCAAGCAAAAAGGGCCATAATATGACGCCCCTGGTGCTTTCTACTTGTCTACTCTTGGGACAGATGTTAATACCAGGATTGAACAGGGCCTCGGACACTTGGACACACACCCTACTGAGCCACTCTGACCTTGTTAGATGCAGCAAACCGTTGCTGTTAATGTGGTACAGAAATGTAAACCAGTTTGATCAAATCACTTCCTCAATGATTTCATTTACCATGTTATATTTACATTTATTTCTGTGTGTGTGTGTATGTAGCTGCATGTGATGGGGCGATACGGCAGTGACGGGACCATCAGAAGCAGCTACAGGCTGCTAGGTGCCGTGTCCCTCCTTCAGCTGGTCACCACTGTTTGTCTCCAGCTCAATAATTTCAGACAGAGACAGAGAGCCAGGACGGAGTGGAAGCTCTACAGAAAGCTCAGGTACAGAAACAGACTAAAGGCCACATACTCTTTGTCTGGTCTTGATGTCAGGGCAGAATGTTGCACAAAAGAACAGATCCTCTTCTCCAGAAATTATTTCAGTGTTGAAGAGAAATTGTGGCCTGTAGCAATAATTACTATATTGATTTGTACCGCGATATATAAACATGAACTGGATAATTTGGCTGACCTTTGCTCCAACCCCTAACTCACTCTTACACATAAAGAAACAGACAGTGAACCAGCCAGAGATGAAGGGAGAACATTTTTGGTTTAAGCCAAATTAGAGAGGAGAGTTAACATGAACAAGGTGGTGTGTTGAATTTGTGGCAACAAAATGTATTTATTTAGGACACATATCTTTAATTCTAATTACAATGTGGGACTAAATATTCCTAAGAATTATGTACCTGTATTACTATGATATTATACTATCGTATCAGTTATATAAATGGTCTCATAATGAGGATAATAATATAATTTATCATGATAATTTCTGGGACAATATATTGTCCAACAAAGTCTTGATGCTGAGACAACCGAGCCGGTGCAAATACTACACCACTTTGTGTTGTAGAAAAGATCTGCATGCAACACATGACATGAACTCTGTCTGTACAGTCCTCAGCGCACGAAGAGCTCGAGCTCGAGAGTCGCCCGCTGCATCCTCTGTCTGGAGGAGAGGAGACACTCCACCTCCACCCCCTGTGGACACCTCTTCTGCTGGGAGTGCATCACAGAGTGGTGCAACACCAAGGTCAGTTATCCAAGTCACACCTGGATATCTACAAACAATACTGATGATGGCAGGGAATTGAAAAACAGTTCTGTTTATTCAGAGGCTGTTTTGTAACTCAACCATTTTAAGATCACAAGTTTTGAGGGATTATTTCCTAACAGAGACATACATGTCTCCACATGCCAAGCCTTTTGTCTCAAGAACACTGTTAGTATATTGGAAAGATTGGTCAAGTTGTTCCACAGTGAATTATCCTCATACCAGGGTTGAACTGCTCGTTACTGACCAGTGTTAATTCATTCGTTTTATTATTATTTTAACTATCTGACCCTACAGGCGCAGACACCTGCTGACCCTGTGTGTGTTAATGTGACATTGGCATGTGTGTTTGTGTGATTCTTCTTACAGGCAGAGTGCCCCCTTTGTCGGGAGAAGTTCCAGCCTCACAGACTCGTGTACCTCCGGAACTACAGCTAGATATACGGAGCTAAACAAAACACACACACACACAAACACACACACACACACACACACACACACACACA